CCCTCGTTCAGGCTCACGAGGGCTGTCCCTCGGATGAAACGAAGCTGGGAGTTCCCCCTCCCTCGCCCAGGACCTCGGCTCCCTCGCTGAGCGATCCCGAAGCAGAGAGGGTCAGCCGGCTGCGGCCTCGCTACGGAAACCCCAGCAGCAGGTCACGGAGACTCAACGCACCCAAAATATCATCATCATCATCTAAAACCCTTGAACAGAGCCACGGGGAGGTCGCGATCGAAGCGGGCGATTTAAAGTTTAAAAGCTGCCTCGTCCCCAGCAGGGACCTCCCCACACGAATCCCTCCCTCCCTCCCTCCCGGGAGCAAACGCCTCCGAGCCCACGGGGGCAGGTTCTTACCTTGCTAACATTGAGTGAAGCTAAAGGAGGAGGCGTTTCCGTGCGGTCATTAATTATTTCCACTTCTGAAACATACTGTAAGTTTACAAGCAGGATATCTGCGTGATTAGGCTTTCCACTGGAAGAGGGGCATTCTGGAGGGGAAAAAGCATTAAGGAAAACAAATCCAGACGGAGACATTTACAGGCCTGATGCACAGAGCCATCCAGGAGCAAACTGGGAGAACGTTCGGTTTAGTCCCCCCCCCGCCCCTGTCCCCGCTCAGCCCAGCGCGGGGTCATCCGCGAGACCCCAACAACGTCAACCGTCTCTTCTCGGACCTATTCGACGCCGATTCAGTTTTCCTGACCACAGCACGAGTTCTCCGGCCAATGACCGCTGTACCCAGAACGCACACAGCCTGGGGTGCTGCGTGGTCTCCTCCGAAAAAGCAATTTAGTCCCGCCTAGCCGGAGAGGTGCGGAGGTGCCGCTGCGGAGGTGCCACTGCCGGGGCCCCAGCTGCGGTGCCGCCTGCTCCCCCCAAGCACCAGCCAACGAACGCCGGTCCGCAGGGGGAAGTGAACCAGAACAAGCACCGCGCCTCGAATTTGCACCTTTTCTACCGTAACTATTTCCTCTTGCAGGCAGCGGCTAAGCCAGAGCCTCCCCGGGAGCAGTCCCTAGCGCGGATGGAAGGGGAGCTACTCGGCGGCTCCCCGGGAAAGGCCTCCTCATCCTCGTGCGCCTCCCGGGCGGCGCCTCGAACGCAGCGAGGTTCGCTGCGGTCGGCATCGCAGCACGACTGGAAAGCGTAAACGAGACAACAGTGCACCACCCCCAGAAAAAAAAAAAAAACCCCAACAAACAAAAAAAAAACCCAAAACAAACCGCCCCTTCCAGAGCCGACATTAATTCCTGCGCAATCCGTTCCCCAGGAGGCTGCGTCGTCGGCCCTCCGCTCCCTCAGCTGCTGGAAGGAGCGGAGAGCACGGCACGGAGAGCCTCTTCCACGCCGACGCCATCTCCTCCTCGGAAGAGATGCTCGCGGAGGTCACTTTTCCTCTCCTCCGGTCCCCCCTGAGCCCGGCTGTGCAGGTGAAGCCCTCCCTAGCAAATGCCTTTCAATAAAGGAGGGAAAACGAGGGGTGCCCAGGGGACTCCGGTCTCTTCCTTCGGGGCGGGGGGGGATGATGAGATGGAGCACCCCAGCTTTGGGAGGAAGAGCCAGACTTTGGGCAAAGCCAGAACGGGAGCTCTCAGCCCTCTCCAGAGCGGACCGGCAGCACGACACACTAAGCCAACCTGTTGGACCATCGTTGAAGACTTTTCCTGCAGCCTCCACTCGGGTCTGGGGAGCTTCCCCCACCCGAACCGCACCAGCACAAAGAGGAGCTCAGCTGGGGAGAGGTCCCCAGTCCCCCTCCAGAACTGCATCACGCCCAGGCACCCAGCAGGGCTCTTCCTATCACATTTCTCTCACAGATCCAGCCTCCAGACACGAACCCCTCTCACGGCTCCTCCATCGCTCCCTCCTTCCCCCCCAGAACCCACCTCCGGAGCCTCGAGCGCTCTTCCAGCCCCCTTCCGACACCAACCCCCTGGGCCGACCGTCCACCTCCCTGAACTCTCTGCGGTCCCTCTGCTGTTCTCTAACAGCCCTTTGCCTTCACCTCACTTGCAGGTTAAAAAGAAAAGCACATCCTTTTTTTTCCTCCCCCCCCCCATCCATATATATTTATCTTTTAAACCCCCGAGCGCTGCCTTCCTGCCTCT